ATGCTTGCAGAGAGATTCCTAATGAAACAAACGATTACCAACTCACAAACACTGGTTAAGTTACGTCACCTCAAGGCCGAAGATGTGACCAACAACTATTGGATGAAAAAAAACTTCCCCCCTCTATGCAGTGCTTTCAGACAGATTCAAATAACAGCACCCAAACATCCTGATCTGACCTCTGAAAAAAGCTACTTCTCACTAAAGACGAACACCAGAATCACCAGAATCATAATGTCAGAATACAGTGACATCCCATTGTTGAATATCCGGATTTTCAACCTTTGCCTGCGTTCCGCGTGGGGTACCCATATCTTTACAGACGCATCCAAGAATCAGAATGGAACCGGTTGTGCATATTATATACCCAGTACTGGCACAGTTGGCACCTTTAAACGTCCCGACTAAGTATCTATTTTTTCAGACGAAGCAGTGGCTATTATGCAAGCTCTGAAAAATGCAAGCAGTAGGCACTTGAAAGAATTTACAATTTTTTCCAATAGCCTGTCCGTTTTTTTCTTCCTTACAAAGTTATTATTGCACAAGTACCACCAATTGTCACATAAATCAAATAAAACATATGATCTGCCACTTGAAAGAAAGTGGAAGCAAGGCTCTGTCTTACAGACACACATTTCCAAAGAAGGTTATAATATTTTATTCAAACAAATCCTATTTAAAAGCTGGACGTTAGAATGGAAGGAATTCTGCTTTACGAACCCAACGAGGTATACTTTGATACATCCTGATATTCCAACAACGTACTGGCACAAAATTTTTAGAATTCCTCATAAATACATATCTATGATTATCAGAACTTGGGCATGGAGCTTATCCAACACATCTAGCTAGATTCCATATTATCGATTTCAACTTATGTGAACACTGCAACGTTGAAGGGAACTTGGATCATCTATTTTTTGGCTGTTTGAAGTTTTCTCTATACTCTACCATAATCTGATTGGCTTGGGCCTTATTTCACCATTTAATGTTCTCCACATTCTATTTTTGAATAGACTTGATGTTACGTGTCTGATAATTGACTTTTTGAAAACCTCTTGGTTAAAATTTTAGTTTTGATTAGCTAGATATCCTCTTTGTAACTATCCTCTGTAATTTACCTTCCTAACCGTGACCTAATTGTTGAGTGTCATATTCTGAAAATACCTTAATGGGCTCTTAGGCGAGAAGAGTGTATCCCTGTCCCCTTCTATCCTTACTTAGCTAGAGAAGTGTAAATTGTAAAAAAGGATCTGGTTAATGCGACATATTCCTAGTGCCATTAAAAAAAAATAATTGGAACCTTTTTTGTTACTTTTGGTTGTATTTTCTGCTTTAGAAGTATTGCCATTGTTTTATAAATCACCTTGTATGCCTATGGATATTATCTCTACAGGAATATATCTTGAGTTTCTTATTAGATCGTTTGAAACTTCAACGTAAACGTTCTGTCCGATACGGCATTACCAGGAAGCTTGGATATGCCGATAAAAGGTATATTCTTGTAGTTACTCATACATCCAATAATCCAGATTATCCTCCCGCGTGCGATCCCTCGTTATCAGAGAGTGGAACTTTTAACAAGCACGTCTGTATTCATCATCAACTTTCTCGGATACCGATTTCGGTGACATAACGTCCGTTGCATTAGCTTCTTAGCTGCATAATGGCCTTAAAACGTAACAGAGTGCGAAGTGTTCATTCCAGGGTTACTTCTCCGCGTATGATATAACGGGCGATTTTTTAAGAGGTATAGGACTTGATTTTAAAAAAAACACAAAAAATTTGAAAATCGATTAAATCTTTATTTGAGTCGATAGAACAGTCGATATAATTTGATGTTTAAAGATTATTTCATGTAAATGTTGGCCGCGGCTCCGCTTTAGGTGGCCCATGCGCAAGGTCCAATTTTGGCACACCCTCTCTCCAACATATCGGCCGGTATCTCACGAATAAATGCCTCAATATTGGCTTCCAGTGCGTCAATCGTTGCTGGTTTATCCCTGTAGACATTAGCCTTAACATAGCCCCACAAGAAATAGTCCAACGGCGTTAAATCACACGATCTAGGCGGCCAATTGATTGGCCCCAAACGTGAGATAAACTGTTCACCGAACTCGCCTCTCAATAGGGCCATTGTTTCGTATGCGGTGTGGCATGTGGCACCGTCTTGTTGAAACCACATGTCAGCCAAGTCCAGATCTTGCATTTTGGACAAAAAAAAGTTTGTTATCATCGCACTGTAGCGCTCGCCATTCACAGTTACGTTCCGGCCATTGTCGTCTTTGAAGAAGTACGGCCCGATGATGCCACCGGCCCATAATCCACACCAAACAGTGATTTTTTCGGGATGCATTGGTAGCTCTTGCAATGCTTCTGGCTGGTCTTCACTCCAGATGCGGCAATTTTGCTTGTTATCGTACCCATTCAACCAGAAATGAGCTTCGTCGCTGAACACAATTTTTCGATAAAAATGTGGATCTTCCTCCAACTTTGCCACCGCCTATTCACCAAATTGGAAACGTTGTGGGAGGTCGTGTGGCTTCAATTCTTGCACCAGCTGTATCTTATAAGGTTTTACACCCAAATCAACAGAGGCTCAATTGCTGCGAACGGCGGCGAATCGACATTTCACGGTCATCACTAACACTGGCGGATACAGCCGCAATATTTTCTTCAGTCCTCACTCTACGTCTGCGAGTTGGTGGTTTTGTCCAATAATGTAAACTGGGTTCAAAATTTAGTCACAAGCTTCCGAATAGCTCCATCAGTAGGCCGACCAAATTGCCCATAAATTGGAAGCAGTGCTCGATGCACTCTCTTAACCTAGCATGAATTTTGATAGTGAAATTCAATAATTTGCAAGCGTTGTTCGTTCGTAAGTCTGTTCATGGTTAAATTATAGACCAAACTAAACAAGTTTGACAATGACACAAGACACGATTCACGCGTCATCTGTCAAAAGCAGTGTCGCCAAAAAGATACTAGCAAAAAAATCACACATTATATTCAAATTCTTCCTTAAAAGCCCTTTTTGAAATATGGTATTTTTGAACAAAAATGCTCACTTTGCTCCTTTTTGTGGGAAATATTACACATTGCAGGATATACGAAGACCAGGGTCTATACTGTTGTACCTGGGTAAGCGACAGTAAGACGTGAAAATCGAAGTCTGAGAAAATTGAGTTAAAAATTCTGGATTTTTTCGAACTAAATAAGTAGTATTATTAAGACAGAACAAAAGTGGATTTCGGTCTACAATTGTGGCCGAGGCCTAAAGTAAATAACATTCGATCCTTGTTGTAAATCAAAGAGCAGTATCATGTAATTTACTGCTTATATACTCTGCAAAAACAAATTTACTGCCTTTTTGTAGTTTTCCAAATCTATTCATCTCATTTTTTCAAAGGAAAGACCCATTAATGCAAATTTTATTTTAATATTATTTATCCACACTGAAACTCACATAAATTCGCACAAAAGTTCATCCTTTCAACACATAATAATTCAATTTAATATCTGTATAATTGCATTTGATAGTTACATTTAACAAAAACAATTTTATACGTTTTTGGCCCAAAACTCCTCGACGTGCTGCGTATGTAAAGATAGACGTCGCGCCACCATTGAGCTCGATCCGTCGAAGAGTCAGAATACTGAGTATTGACAGAGAATGTACAGGGCGATTCACAAGTCGTGACCAAAAATAAAACATCAAACACAGGACCGCATTTTAAGGGGGTCTTATATGTAACATTTTTTAAAAGATAAGGGGTGTTGAAGTTTAAAAATACAAAACAATTTCTTTTAGTATTTAAAAAACTGTCAACTGGAATGAACAAGAATTTGGTATATGGATTTACCTAAATATTGTCCACATTCAAAAGTCTTCACCTCAAATTAACGTGCACCAGTGGCGGAGATGCAGGGGATTAGCGACATTTTTTTCTAAATAAAAATAGTACTCCACGCGTAATTTTTCGAATTTTACCATCAAATTGCTACAAACAATTAATCTTGTGTTTTTTCCAAGAGTGCATTGCTTTCGCAAAAATGAATAAATGTTCAAAAATACCACCATTCTGACGGATACAAGTCTAACATCTTTTTAATAAAGAAAAACGTATTTCCGCAAAATTTGTTGTGGCTTGAATTTGACAAAACCCATACTATCTATTCTTTTTTGTAGCTGATCAACAAAATTAATTTGTTCAGCATATTCTAGTTGTTTGAAAGTGCCCCACAAAAAGAAATCCAGGGGGTTCAAATAAGGAGTATTTATTCTTCTGCGTACGCGGTTGTTTCTGCATTGAAAGAAACATGTTTATCATTTTGGTATTTGGCGGATTTTTAATAGCTCGAAGTTCGAAATAACAAGTCAAATGTTCACAAATAGGTGACTTTTGAACAAAAACGCCAAAATTAGGAGCTTGTGGCCCTTAAACAATGATAACAGAATAAAAAATACCTCTACGGAAGTTTAAAAAACATGTTCCAAGACCTACAGATGCAAACATTTATAGATGCGATTTCAGTTATCTTTAGGACCAAGAACTCCGCTTATAGACCTCGATGGTTTTAATATCCCTTCTGAAATAGAGCGCAGACCTGTGTATCTGGTTCAATCTTCGTTATAGCAGCACTCTTGTAAGCAGCTTGTTTTGTGTCATACTACGGGCATTTTCTTAGCATGCGGAAGCGGGGTTTTCATTTTGTAAGCCACTTGCATGCATCCTTCAGATTTCTTTCAATAAGAATCGTTTTGGAATTGCTGGATTCCCATTTTCTACTGCACTGGACTTTCTTTATGGTTCATACGTGTTTCGACTGAAATCATAACGTCCCTTCCCCAGTCATACTAAAGCAACTTTTGTGAGCCTTTTATAGTATGGGTGTTCTTAACGAAGGTCCAACTGAAATAGTACTTAGTACTTTGTTATGATATCATACTTGTACATTTATCGTGAGTAGTAATAATTGATGGCCCCATGTAATTTTAGGATACCAAAAAGAAAGTCACATATGTCATTGACATGGAGTCATCCAAGCTTCTTAGGTTGTCAAATTACTACGTGAATACTGAGGTAAAAGTACATTTAACATTTCAGAATATAGAATACAAACTAAATATTGGTAAGGACACTCAAAAAATATTTTAAACTAAACTTTTTTTTATACTTGAGAAGTCACGAAAACGACGAGTTCAAAGTTTAACCGAACCGTGTCTCTCACATAGGGTCAAGTGGTGCAAAAACGAGACGATTTTTAAATCTTTTAATTTTTTGTCAACAGAAAACCTGACTTTAAGGCTTTGTTATATTGCCCTGTATACAGAAAGCCATGTAGTAATTATAACACGTATATACACGTTAAAAAAGTTCATAATATTCATAATGAAGGGCGTTTTTGTTAAAAAACCGTGTCTCGTTTTTAACCACTATTTAGGCTAGAAATGAGACAGTGATAGGTTAAAAACAAGACACTGTATTTTCTGGCCTTTTAGTCATTTTACATCAGTGTGGCAAAATATGAGACTGGGGAATAAAAACGAGACACACTGCAAGGGTTTTAAAGCATTTAGTAAGTCAAATAACATAGTTAGGTTTTAAATTATGACAACGTTCTTAAAGAAAACTCATATAATTAAATACAAAACTATGTTTATTAAACTAAAAAGAAAACAAATCCAAAAACAAGTTAAATAAACCATACCTAATTCAAAAAAGGGGCAAAACAAGATTTTCAATAGGATTTTAAGAGCTAAAGTAGAAAAATTATTATTCTAACGTATTTTGTACTACATATTATTGAACGACGTATTTTTCAAAGTCGATAGTAGACCAATATTGCTGAGAGATACGACAAGTCTTACTTTCTATTTCTGGCTGAGGAAGTTGCATTTCTATGTTACTTTTGTCGATGAAGTACTTTTCCTCGATGGCCGGAAAAATAAATTCAAATCCTTTGCGCCTCAGATATTTTACTTCCACATCGCTCTTAAAAACTTTAAGGATTTGTGCCACGTAGTAAACTTGCGTTTTTTGCGTTTTTTTGACTTAGTCTATTGCGCTTACAAAAATTTTTAAACCAGTCTTTCCCAGGCTTTCCTTCCTTAAACTGGGTAGTACGGTGGTTTTCTTGTACATAGGTTTGAACTATTGCTTGTATCTCTGGTTTAGTGAGAGCAAACCCCCATTTTGTCATAATTTTTATCTTATCACTTAAGTCTACTTCCATTTCTTTGGTTAGAGAAGTTTTTCTTCCCTGTTTACCAAGTGAACGAGTACGTCTTCTCGAAAGAGCAGATTTGTCAATTTTAAACGGTTTAGCTGCATTTCTAAGAGATAAAGTGCCATTATCTATTAGGTTTAGGGCTGTTTCCATGTTTCTTTTGTCGTAGGGGCGCTTTTGGGAACGTAAGCCTTTGGCATTATTATCAATGGAATAAAAGCTGTCTTGTTTTTTACCTGGCAGGTGTCTTGTTTTTAAAATTTGTGGTGTCTCGTTTTTGCAACTGTTATTGACGACGTGCCTGCTTCCCAACAAATAAAAATAGACTAAATTCGATATGCAATATCATAGCCGCATTTGTTATTTTGAAAACGCGATACTTGCCGAGTCTCTACGATCACGTACAGCGGCGCAACAGGAAAAGTTTGTAAATACAATTTAAAAGATTATTTAAGCAAAATGCACAATCAGATGCGATAGTTTTTTTCTCGATGTTTGTGTTTGCGTTTATTTATTATTCATTACATATTTCAATTGTATATATGTGGAAGTAATTTGTAACGTATTTTTTACAATGTTATTGTTTTTTTTGATATTGGGAAAAATTGAATGTCTTGTTTTTGACCGAAATTTCGGCTGTATCATTTTTGCACCACTTGACCCTACCTCCGGATTATTCACGGAAGCAGAACCGAGTTCTGCCAAATCGCTGTTCAGTTGAACAGTTTACTTATCTTAATCGAAATGTTCAACTATATGCAGTAAAAATTTACTTTTTTAAATGTACTTCTCCCACTTAAACAAACTTGTCTCAATTAATTGAACAATATTAATGGGAAAGATACATGGTTTATTACTTTCAGTTCAATAGTTTTTTTTCAGTTAAACTGGTTTCGTAAAATTCAGTATACTTAAACCAAATATGCATTACGGATAATTAGATTTTTCCTGATAACCTATTTAATTGTTTTCTTAGTCTACGAAAAACAAGACAGAATAGAATATTGTGTACAACAAGTAGTTTTACTACCAATTATAAAAATTCGCGACCTCTAAGTGAATCTCCTGTTGATATTTTTTATTAACAAAGCATTAGGTAATAATTAACCCCATTCGCTTACTTTGATACGAAGTTATTGTTATATTTTGTCATTTGCTTGCTCCCCATCAGCCAAAATTGGCCTCCATGTAATTGTGCAAAAAGCCAAATAAAGTTCTCACTCATCTGTGTCCTCACCTTACCAATAGATAGTATACCGAAATGCTTTGTACAGTGTGTTTTATGACTAATAACAATGACATGTGGCTTTTGTGGAACTTTAACAATGCTTTGTAAATGATTTGCTTTATTATTTCAATTTTTATTTTTACGAACTTTTTGGCAGGTTTGCTAGTTGTACCTAGAACTTCATATTCAAATTTTTTTCGGTTCCATTTTTATTTGCGCTTTTCAGTTCCATTTTAGTATTTAACGTTACAGATTGATATTGATACATATACCAATATACACATCTTTCTGTGTAAATGCTATAAATTGACCCCCTTCAAAATTTTTGTATGACCGTATGGAAACAAATGTTTTTAATCAAGATGTATGCTCTAATATTAGTTTTTCGGAAAAAGTCTTTTCTTAAAGTACTATTGAATATAGTTGTATTAAGCCCTGTATAATTTTAGTGAAAATGGCAGTCGGTGTTTCACTCATTGCAGATATGTATGAATTATCATATTTATTATCAGTAGTTTGGTCAAAAGATCAAATTTCCTATGTCACATACACTGAAAACCAAATACCACTGACGTAATATATGTATATGAGAGAGAAGTCCGGAGAGCGTGCAATACGTGTGTTAAAAGAGATAGCGGCATTACGATTTAACGACCTACAAATATAAGGTTTCAGTTTTTCCCTACAGTAATTAATCAAGCATATTATTCGACAGCACTTTTAAGATACAAAAAATACATGACAGAAAAACTTTATATAAGACACTACAAGTTTTGTATATAACGTTATTTTTAAAAGGTCATGCTAAAAAGTTAAGATGGGGTCAATTCATAGCGCATCTGCTATACGCTACCGACCTTGTTGGGAAGCTGATTTTTTCAAAATGGTACATATCCACGGAGAAAAAAAGTGTCCATGGGTTCTATAGTCTTGATACGGGTAATTTTCAACATAATTATACTGCGTCACAGAGTAGGTACGGTGGATGGCTCGTGCTAGCTACTTGATGTTTGTTAATATTCTCAAGAGCAAATGGTTGACAAATCTCGAGTATCTAAGACCACTATTCTTGTAGAGTAGAATCGCTAAAAGAAGATAGGCGTGGTTCTCTTGTCTTTCGGGAGCTGAATACCTAAACACTGATAGAGTTATTCTCGACAGAAAAAGTGGGAAAGTCTCGTTGCCGTCCATCAGGCTTATATCCAAGGACAAAGCTAACTTTTCGATGAATATATCTTGGAGGGAACGGATGCACTCACAAACTCAGGCTGAATAGAATATTATGTTTGCGTGCCGTCTCTGCGATCGTAACCAACAGTGTACAACGTTGTTTCATGCTTTTTGGCAATCATCAGTACGGTATAGGTCTAGTCGCTTGGAGACAGGTGACAGAAAGCGAACAAGAGGAAATTAGTATAAAAAACTCAATATGTGCTGAAATAAAACAAAGGTGACATGCTGCCTATCAGTAGTTTCACTATTCGCTGTACTGCCTGACCTTAACTCATGCAACTTTTGCAAATAACGGTGGGGACTTAGCACCCCATTGAGTGACAATCGTATGCTGATGTGTCATTCAAAGATGCCGGAAAGCTGTAGTTCCTCGCTGCCGTAGCCGCAGTAACGCGATTTGTGAAGCTAATCACAGGTGACGTCTCAACTTTGCTTTATTTCCGCACTTTCAGAAACTTCCTTGAAAAACGTCAACGTCTGTAAAAATTTGGGATTATTCTATTCTTTTGCGCTCAAGGCTGTGGACTTGATCAGACAACCTTTCCTTCTTTAAATTGTGTACTTTTTCAGGCGACAGTAAACGACATAGCCATCAACTCAGTATCAGAAGAAAAGAAGGTCGAGCCCTTATCGCCAGTGTACGCCCAACAACCCAACGAACATCAACTTCAACCTGCTAGCCACGAAGGGTCCAGCGTGCAGATCAGTGGAATCACTCTCGGGGCTGATACCAGGCATCCTGCACAGCCCGTAGCTCCGGCCACTACGGAGAATACACCCTTCAAACCACCAAGAGCGGGAGGAATGTTTGCCAGGCTTATCGATGACATTTTCCAGGTGAATAATGCATGACGGATCAGCAAAAGGAGTCAATTAGATTCTCTGAGTATCTTGCACGTGTCAATATCAATTAGTAACGAGTACGTTTAGTAAAAAAGTTGCGACAAAGGAAAAATGGGCGTCGGCGGGATTCGCATGTCCTCCATTCCAATTCGGGCCGCTGCACAACAGTCTGGGAACGGAAGCTAGAACGTAAACGAGAACCAGGGCGGTAACGAGACGTTTTTACAGATGCACAATTATTGATTAGCTATACCCTATTTCAGGAGTATCCGTCACGCTTTGGCGTCTACTTAGGTGAACAGCTGATCAGCAAGTGACATTTTGTCTTAGCCTACATCGTTGGCAATAATGAATATCGAATGTAAATCTAGTAAAACTTGTTTGTATGGTTTTTTGTTTGCAAATTAACGTTTCTAAATAAAAGAACTTTTAGCAAGTACAAGACAAATCTGTAGCGTACAAAAAACCAAAACAAAATATGGATCTGTCTACCTGGCATTGACGGATCCGTCAGAATTATGTGCCCTTTACCGATATGGGGAATTTTAAAATATTACTAGATAATCAGCTGTCGTTCTACCGTAATGGATACTCGTGAAAAATAATATACTGTGACAGCATTTTTACACCTAACCTAACTTTATTCTGTGCAACTGTTTAACTCATAAAATGAAAATCGATTTTGAAGAACAGTTTCTCATTGCGTCCTTTTTTGCAATGTGTCTTGTACTTAATGACAAAGAAGAAAATAGAAGAACTATTTGCTTTCATTTTATCGTCTTCGTATTGCTTCACCCCTTTTGGTGCAAAGATGTACAACTAATTGTATTAATAATTCCTCATTCATAATCGTATTTGTATGTAACCGAAGCGTCATTACCCGTAACACAGACCAAATAAGCAAACGGAAAACGCCCCACTTAGGAATTTAACCATAGCTTATGAACATGTACACGATCCAAGTATTCTGATTGGCTCCGAGAAGACGATGGAATGGAAAAGTTGAATCTTGACCAACTCTTCCGCCCTTTCCCTTTTGTCGAACATGTAACATAATTGTACGGATAATATCAAATGATGTTCTCCCCTGTTTCCGTTTACGTTCCCTTTTACGTTCCCGGCCAATTGTGCAGCGCCCTTTAGTCTATAGCACCAGCTGTCAGCCAACTTTCAGGATCGACTGCTAGAGGCAAATTCAATCCTATCCACGCCACTGCTTTCAGGCTGCTTGATGCCCCATCTGGCGGCGTTCAAGTGAAACAGACCAGATTGGTTCTCAAATCGCCTTCCTGTCGCACCACGCCGCCTCGTCGGCACTTACCACGGTATCACCATGCAGAGCAGTAACTACGGTATGCCATTTTCGGATGAGCGCATCGGTAATAGCGAGTATGCTTCGTAAACAAATAAATACGGGGTGCGCCATTATTTATGTCGGTATGTAAACATGAAATAACTTTGAAAACGAAAAACTGATTTCTATATATAGGGTATTTTTATTAATATGGTCCTTTACAATTTATTGAGACTAGTTTATGAACTCAACATATATCAATTGGACACCTTTATTGGCCAAAACAAAATGTGCTCGTATTGCTGTGTTTTCCATTACTTTTTGAGCATCTCTGGTGGTATAGCGGCGATTGCGGTGCGAATCTTGCTTGAGTTCTCCAGTGGTCTGGGCATACTGGAGTACATTTGACTTTTCAAATAATCCCACAAGAAGAAGTCCGGTAAAGTCAAATCTGGAGACCTGGCCCAATGATGGTCACAAACGCCGGCCCAAACAGTCACTTTCCGGTCATTGCAACGGCATTTCGTGGATCTCAGGTTCAGCATCAACCATGCGTGCGTTTGGGCGTATTCCAAGCGACGTGGACGGTCAGTCGGCAATATTTTTTGTGTTAAGTGCACCTTATAAGGAAACAAATCATCCTTCATAATGCGCCGCAACGTGGTTCAACTGGTACGAAAATGCTGAGCGCGGTGACGTTACGACACTTTTGGGTTCTGGGCAACGCTGTCTCTGACCGCTTCAACCAATTCATTGGAACGTCTTGGTCGTTAATGAACGGTATGTTGACGATCTCCCACTCAAGAAAATTCGAAACCAAACGACGGATAGTGTTGTCAGACGGTGCCTGCTTGCCACGATATTTTCGACGATAATATGCACGTCGCGTTAACACAACTGAACGACGATTTTCAAAGTACATTGTGACTATTTCGGTTTAAAGCGATTCATGACTAAAATTGTAGTAAACTGACGTTTCAGAAACACGTTAACCAAATCACTCGGTTGGTAAATATCAAGTCATTCGTTGTTTCAATACCGACATAAAAGATGGCGCACCCTGTATTAGTTGTGATATCAGGACGAATCTATTCATCTGATTGCAGCAAGTCAAACAGAAATTTGAAAGTTCAGGTTTGTATCATTGGTATGCAGTTAAAATCTGCCATTTTAATATTATAAAATTTTAATATATCCAGTGACGGAAACAACACTCCTCATAATGTCAAAAACTATTAAGCTGTATGGGCTGTAAATACCACTCCATCTGCGGCACTCAGTTAATAAGAGAAATTCATATGAGACACAATATGAAATATTTTTGGCCCGCTAAATGCCTTAACTTATATCCTGAAGTAAGCACTACTAGTATGCTGAAAAACGTTCAAAAATATGGTAAGCTTTTCCAATATTATGCCCCTTGCAACTGTTTCCTGCAGTTTTTCGTTTCTCATAACTGCGTCATCGCTAGACCGATATTGAAAACCTAAAGAGTCTTTCTACTACTATTTTTATAATAATCGCTAAAAAATTATATTTTGGTATGCCCGATATCCTTTAGCTGAAATATGTCATGCATAAAATTTTGTATTTTTTTCTCAATTATGATACTGGATCCAATGTGGGGATTACGCCGTTCTGAATACATAACGTCGGATAGGTCGAAATAACCATTTAATAAGATTTGCTAGAGGAGATTTTGTCTAACACGTGAATATTGCTGAAACTTTTGCTCTGGGACATCTGGTCACTCCAAGTTACTTAGCACATGAACTCGTTATTTGATTGCATTGCGCTTTCAACTATAGAATAGAGACAGGAACTGGACAACTGGTAGAGATAGAATGAGCGATCAAAGAAAGTCACCCGTTAATGACGTTGTTCGGTGTAGTTACACTGATAACATATTCCAAAAAAAAGTCAAGATATACATTTTCAGACTCCTCACTCGAGTTTTATATTTTTGTACAAGAGAATCGGCTGCAGTGTGATTTAGTAGTAGTAAAATAAGACTGCTCTTCTTACATACGACTTATTCTTTCAGAATTGAACAAAAATATCTATACCCAGTTAATATCAGTGTTGCATTGAGGTTTGTTCGCCTTTTTTTTGTTATACCTTTCCGTAGCTAAGATTTTCCTCCGAGGGTTAACTTGTGCACAGTATGCTTATGAACTTATGTCAGCGTTACGAGGGAAATGCAGAGTCAACCTACTTGATGAAATTTTGCTACAAGAACCCGTCACATTACATTCAGTTTTTCTGTGTATATGGATCGAAGTCGCTGATAACTATAGAACTCGACGTCTTGGCGATGTATCTGACCTTCAAAGAGTCCTAACTAATCTATTCAACCATATATACAATGAAATTGCTAACAGCAATTTAATATTGCACCGCGTTTTGCGATTTTTTTTTGCGCTACGGCACTGAGTATAGTTGGTCGCAATGAACTTTCGAATTTTAATAACAAATCGACCGCATGCTTGAATAAACAAAGGGGAAATTCAAAGTATGGATGTTTGTATCTAAATAGCGTTGCCCAAAATGCATGACATGACATAATGTACGTTACGATAACAAGACGCATAAAAAACTCTGAATTATATTTGGCATCAATGATTATCGACCTGGCCGCTTTTGGTACTTTTGCAATCTTGAAATAGTCCACTAGTTAGCAGAAAGAGCATGTTGATAAAATGTGTCCAGTGGTGATAATGAACTGGAGAAACGATTCAATTTCAAACTGACGATATAGTTGCTCCAATATCTACCCAAGTACCACCATAAAAACATTTTATATCTATTTGAGGTTTGAAAACGGTTTTATTGTGATAGACGAAAAGATAATGGCTACTAAGGTTACCTTGAATATATACTGCCAGAACTTAAAAACGCTGTTTAGCATTCAAAGCAGGTTTCAAATAATCTAATAAGATCATCAAAAGGTGTTAATAGCTTTCAATAGTTTTTCTCTATTGTAGTATTAAAATGGATTAGCTTCAATTTACTTTGAAACGATAGCATTTTATGAAGAACTTGTGGGCTGTTTGGTTTTATTATGTTCTATACTGAGTGACAAAAAAAGGTAAAGACTTACGTATGTTTATTAGAATCATTAGTTTGCCATGAACAACAAGTGATAAAATGGTCAGGTTTTTCTGTTAAATTTTGTGGTGAATGCGTGTATTGTTTGGTGATAAAGAAGCATTCAGTTTTCGTACATTCACGGTGTCAGGTGAATGTTAAACTTCGTGTAGCTTATTTAGAAACCTTTAAGATCTTTTCTGTTAACATTAACTAATCGATAAGGTCAGGCGGCGAAGTATTTTCCTACGTTGACAGTCCTAAATAGCTATCTACATTTAATTATTCTATACTTACGGATATATATATACAGGGTGTCCCAGAAGCCGCGTCAAGCCGAAACCGGGTGATAGGCAAAGTCATAACAGCTATCAGAAAAATATTTTAAAAAATTTTATGTATGTGCTTTGAAAATTATAGGTCTTTGAAAAAGATATAGAAATTTCACACCCTACGGCAGTCTGTCAACTCCTGTTACTACAAACATTAACTTTTTTTTGGATTTTATTTTACAATGTAATGATGAATAATGCATCTTCAAACTGGTGTCTCAACCTTACTGCCAGCTTTTCTCGTTCAGAAAAATTGCCACTTATTTCCCAACCAAGTATTCCAAAGTAAAACTTTGCTCAACTTTAACTGGCTGTACTGGAAAAAATGTACTACGAGAGTTTGGCAAGTAACCTAAAAGTTGGGGCATTTAATAAGGATTCCAAAATGATATAACACTTAGAAGATTACTCGTTAACTTATGCACAATTTTTATTTGAGAAAAACTGATGAAAATTTTTCAAAATTTCCTAAAGCAGCGATTATGAAAACGCACAAGGACCCTTAAGGATAAACTGTTTGCACAACAGTGGGCGTCAAAATGCTGCTGAGTGATGATTTACCTTTACAGCAAATGCTCAAACTGTTTTCCTTCAGCCGCAAAACACGCTCGACATCTTCTTAAAAAGATCGGTTTATTAAACGAGCGAATCCATGGTTATTAACAAACTCCAGCGCTTCAATAGTCTTTGCCGTAGCTCAGCTACATTTTGAATCGGCTGAAATACACTTTTTCTTTTACAGTTCCCCAGTAAAAGAAATCTAACGGATTCAAATCTGGTGCAAAAAACCAAATAAACCTCAGCAGTCAAATCTCTGGGAACTCAAACGGACCGATTATTTTACCATTAAAATTCCTGTCCAATGGTTATCTTTGAAGCGATATTGAGATTTATCTTCTCTCATCAAATGTGGGATTGCTACGTGCCACTTTCTTAAATGTGTCTCAATCTGACCATAAAAGTTTTTCAAAGAACCGTGGATCGTCCCTGTTCTTTCTAACATTGTGCGACAAAAAGCAACTACGTGGTATGATGGAGCACGTTTTTTTGCAAGATTCTATGGGCTGTACTTTTGGGCACACCATTTTTAGTTCTATTGCACGAACTGAAGTACTCGGTCTTCTTCGGACAGCTCCTAGCACCACGTCTTCGTAAGGAAGGAAAGATCTTCTCTCACCGTGTGATTGGTTTGGTAGTTGCCCTCTGAGAACAGTAAGCGTTGCACATTTGTGAACACTCGATGATCTGGATGACGAGCTGCATTCGGGTACCTCTCACAGTAAAGTCTCGCTGCATCACTAGCGTTGCATCTGCATTCCCATAAATGAGATGCATGGTAGCATATTCTTGTACGGTGTACACGGACATAGCGGCACTGCACAATCACACTATCAAAGATAGTCATAAGGAAAGCAAATGTTTGTTTCAAGAGCAATTAAACAGTCCAAATCCAATCTCAAGCGATCAACAGTCCAGTCACGAATCCAAAATTAGTAACAGTACGAAATCAACAAGCACGAACATGTAAAGATGCGCAGTAAAACGAAGGAGTACTGATCGGTATCAAAGTGTGCAATAGCAAGTAAGTGATGTGCTTCATCCATACCACATACAGTGTGTTCAACCTCTCCTGCCCCGGGATTACGACCCCGAGTTGCTTTTTGTCGCACAATGTTAGAAAGACACAGGAAAGATCCACAGTTCTTTGAAAAAATTTTATGGTCGGATGAGACCACATTTAAGAAAGATGGGTACATGAACCTGCATAACTTACACGAGTGGCAAGTAGCAAACCCACATTTGATGAGAGAAGATATCGCTTCAAGATAAACCATTGGACATTAATTTAAAATGGTAAAATAATCGGTCCGCTTGAGTTCCCAGAGACTTTGACTGCTGAAGTTTATTTGGATTTTTTGAAAAATCATGTACAAAAATGTATTGGTGGACGTGCCACGGTAGTATTTACTGGGACATGTGGTTTCAGCATGATGGCTGCCTAGCGCACTAATGCACTCTCAGTGAGAGAGTATCTCGATCAAGGCAGATGGATAAGGCGGTCTGGTTACAATACCGTGGCCAGCCCGATCACCTGATTTGAAATCCTGTTAAATTTTTTTACTGGGGAACTGTAAAAGAAAAAGGTGTATTTCAAGACGATTCAAAATGTAGCTGAACTACGCAAAGACTATTGGAAGCAGCTGAGTTTGTTAATAACCGTGGATTCGCTCGTTTAATAACCGATCTTTTTTAAAAGATGTCGAGCGTGTATTGCGGCTGAAGGAAAACAGTTTGAGCATTTGCTGTAAAGGTAAATCATCATCAGCAGCATTTTGACGCCCACTGTTGTGCAACAGTTATCCTTAAGGGTCCTTGTGCGTTTTAATAGTCGCTGTTTAATTAGGAAATTTTGAAAAATTTTCATCAGTTTTTTTTCAAATAAAAATTATGCATAAGTTAACGAGTAAATCTTCTAAGTGTTATACCATTTTGGAATCGTTATTAAATGCGCCAACTTTTAAGGTTACTTGCCAAACTCTCGTAGTACATTTTTTCCAGTACAGCCAGTTAAAGTTGAGCAAAGTTTTACTTTGGAATACTTGGTTGGGAAATAAGTGGCAATTTTTCCTGAACGAGAAAAGTTGGCAGTAAGGTTGAGACACCAGTTTGAAGATGCATTATTCATCATTACACTGTAAAAATAAAATCCAAAAAAGGTTAATATTTGTAGTAACAGGAGTTGACTGCCGTAGGGTTGTGAATTTATATATCTTTTTCAAAGACCTATAATTTTCAAAACACATACATAAATTTTTTTAAATATTTTTCTGATAGCTGTTATGACTTTCCCTATCACCCGGTTTCGGCTTGACGTCGGCTTCTGGGACACCCTGTATATATATATAACACAAGAATCTGATCCCACTTTCCTCCTTTTTGCGGATTTTGCCCATTATTTTCCTACTTGTCGTTATATATATATATAAAAATTTGTTGGCTTACTATCTATTATATTTTAACAATAACGAAAATAATATTTAAAGGTATACATTCAATAAGCATTTTTAAGTTTAAGTACAAGTATTTTGAAACTCCGAGTATTTAAAATGTTTTTAAACAGGTTTTAAGAGTACCTCCACAGCAGGTTTGAAAATCGGCTTGCTTGACCTCCAAATCCATGCTTTGAGGCTGTTCAATGTTACTAGTTTCCAAAAAGTTTTTCAAAAAATTAGATAACTGCTAAATATCACCCTATAAAAAAAGGATCTTGGTATATCTGAAATAGTTCAATTGTCTATTAGAAGAAGTAGCTTTAGATGTGATTCTCGCTAAGGAAAACAGTTATTATCGTAAATGTCCATTTTTAAAAATCATTTTCGTATTTTTTTCCCGCATGTTTTGAAAAAATTCTGTATTCGGATTACTTTGTTAAAGTCCTTGTACGGTTGATACTTTCTTGATTTGTTAGGGTGTGGGGTAAAAAAATACTAGTAGAAGCTTACAAAATATGTGTGTAGCTACATTTTTATCGACGTTGTTGGTTTCATTGCACGGCAGGCGACCAAATGAAGAAAGTAATGATACTAATCAAAAGAAAAAGACTGTTTCGTTTCTAGCTGCTGCCCATTACAAATATTATATAATGACCTCATAAAGATGGATCAATTAAGAACATGGTTATATAATTTGTGCACCTGAAAATAATTATGTTGAAAGTTAGTTGATGACATGTGTGTATCCTTTATGAACCCACGAAGGCATACTATTAGGTATACAGACCGTTTTCTCACTATGCAGGCTTGTTCGTTGTTCTATTCCTAGCCATAACAGCAAGGATGAGGTACCTGTTTTTCCTATAATGAAAATCCTAAGTTATGTTTTACTGGACAACTTAGCTAAATATAGATAACATATAGGTACAAGGTTACGTATTAATTAATACATATTATGTCATACAAAAAAGATAAATAAGAAGGTTTTCGTGACTTGAACTTTCTAACCTACTTGAAACAGTGTTGTTTTTCTAATCGAGAAGAATATAACAGAATCGCACGTGAAACACGATACCTAGTAAGAATGAATGAAAATAGAAGAATACTTCTGCACACTTTATCTGTAGGAACCTAAGTATTTATGTATTACAATGACGATACTCGGCTTACTGGTAGTACCAATATTCAGTTTTCTTTGTGAGATACTAGAAGAACAAAGTCGATGACCTACCTAGTCCATTTGAAACACTTCGTCACGGATTACCGTGGCTACTTATCAAGTTTTTCTTCCTGTCATCTAAAACCTTTTCTTTTTCGGCCCCATTAAAGCATGGTCTAAATACGATTAAATAAAGTGGTTTCTTACGATTTTTTTTATTTCAGATCCCGATCAATGTACTTCAGAATGGTGCTCGACTCATCACCAGCCCATTTACCAGCAGGCCCAAGAGTCCAGAGGTTGTCGCTCATGTTTCCTAAGCTTTCAGCTTAGGACTAACATTGTTTTTGTACATAGCCCCATGTTTTCAAGAAAGTTTTATATATTTGTTAAATTATTTTTACATATCCCTTGAATCTTTTTTTATTTT